GTTTGTAGGTATATCGCCCAGCTCCAGATGGCTCCACACTATTTGGTCTCCTAGTTCGCGTTTGTCACATCTATAATACTTGTTCACAGGCATGTGGTGAGAGTATAATTGTGCATTTTATGGTTATGAATGGCACAGCCTGGCAACTCTCCGATTATTATTTCCATTCGCTGTCATGCATTATCAATCTAATTCCCCATTACATGCCATTTTTTTCATGCATTCCTCACCCAGCAAGGACAAAGAAAGGCAAAAGCCCTGTGAAGAAGACTGCATCACCAGAAGAACAGGCTGATTTTGATGAAAATTGGGAAGTTATAGCCTCAAATTTGGGGGACAGCTTTGGGCTAATTCGAAGTGAAAGTTACTGTTAATGGTTTAGTATTGTGCATCAGTACCGAGACTTCTGGCCCCGAGGTTGGCAAGGTGTTGCTAACTGTGAAAAGGGGCCCTACCACAAGATGGACTAGGAAAAGGTCAGACACAGGAGGACCTAACAGATGACATTTCACTTTAGATCACTGGGATTTCCAGATTTCTAAAGACACCTAAATATATTGATGTTGGAATGTGGGCTGAAAGGTTCACTTAGTGCTTGACTTACTCCTACAAAATCTATTGAGTGTCCAACATGAGCAGAGGATTCAATGCTGTGAGCATTAAGTGAACAGAAAGTCTGTGGTAACCATGAATTGGCAAACAACTGCTAATAAGCTAGAGAGCAATAAGATGCATGAGGATATAGTCAGAGTTTGGGGAGGAAGGTGTACAAGTACAAATGTTCTTGACCATGGACAATTAGTTTCTTCTTGTGATACATCATGGAGTAATTGGAGCTCCAATTTTAAAACAAAAACACCCCCAAACACTACAGATAGAGATCTGGCTTCCTAACAAGCAGGATCCTACATGCTACATTTCTGAATTAGACTAAGCTTTGCTTGAATATTTGCACAGGGGTTATTCACTCAGTTCAAATGGAGGCTACCAGCTCACTGCTTCTTGATTATTTGGTAGTAATAAGGCCATTGAACTAAACCAAAGCTCTCAAATTCCCTATAACAATCTTGGCCTTTATACTTAGCAGTAATTTATACCTGTAGTTCAAGAAGAATATCTTTTCTCTTTGGGGAGAAAATACCTAATTTCCACAGAATCAATTAAGAATTGATTCAGCACCCTAGAGAAGCATGAATGCAATCCACTAAACAGTAGAAACAGCCCTGATCATCTTCTGACAAAGGCATAATGATAGATATTTTTAGGAAAACACTATTAGTGGTAGAACAGGCTGCCTCAAGTGTAAGGGTGTGCCTAAATCATTCCTTATAAGAGAAAGACATGCTGATCCCATGGGACAGAGGAAGGGTGTCAGCTGACGGATTTAGGGAACCAAAAGGAAACTGCTGCGGAGAGACTTTTTGATAAGCCAGTTTATGCTGATTCAGAAAGCTTCTTCCAGAAGAGAGTAGTGACACCAGCAAGCCTTTGTGTGCAGTGGCAACCCTGCAGCCCAGGGGAGCTAGTGAACCAGCTCTTGAGATTACATGGCCTGGGAGAAGCAATCAAATAAATGTAAGCCACTAACAAGGTGATTCAGGCTGATGATGGCTGCAATGAACACCCTTCCCCAACAAGTTCGGTTTTTAGTGGCCACTTTCCCCAGATTCGTTTACTCTTTGAGCTTATTGTAGGAAAAGTTCAAGTATCTATGTATCCTACATAGCCGATGGAATGATCTCTTCTCTTCCTTTTCTATTTCAACTCCTGCCTTTTAGGAAACACCCAATGTCTTCTTTTGTTGCTTTAAGTCCATGTGCAGAGAGTACTGGACAGCAAAGAATTAGAAAGGGACGTGGTGGAGTGAACAGATAGCCAGCGTCCTTGGAGTTCAACAAGAAATGTGGCCTGAGGCACCTGCTGATCCTGTCCAGGTAAAGCAGCTCCTCTTTTCACCTCTTTTAGCTCAAGAAGAATACAGTTTTTAGAATTTAGGTCAAATAATCATTGGAAGGTCTTTATTCCATGGTTTTTCTTCCTATGAAGTCTCAGAAACAATTTTTAATTGAAATGCTGGAATTTTCCACAATTAATACACCTAAATAGAGATTTTCTGCCACAGATTTTATTGACACATCAAGTGCTATCCAAAATATAAAGTTATTAATTAAAGTCATTGATGAGTCCAGACTTATACACCCTCATACTATATAGAGAGTGGTTTAAAATTATTCCATGAGCTATTTAACTGTTAGCATGTCTGTTTCTCATTTTGAAATATTTAAATGGAAGTTCTCCAGAAGCTATACTGTCCTTTTTTTAAAAAAGGTATTTACATATGCAGTATCTTTAAGAAGAACTCTTTAGATTTGAAAGTGCTCCTTCATCTTTTCAGTCATTCAATTTGTCAGACTAAATGCAACTCTTGTAACAAATAAGTATATGGCATGTGAATAGAACTATAAGTATTTTACTTTACACACATAGAGGCATCAATAATGTGACCACAAATGACATATTTATGCAGTAAGGTCAGTAAAGCTCTTCCTTGGACGAGGTCTCACTCTACCCCACACTTACTAAAAGACAAAGGTAGCCCAACAGGTCCCCTCACTACCCAAGTCTCTGGATCTTTCATCTCATCACTGTCTTTCCCATCACAAATAGGCCACACTTGTTTCTTCAGCTCATCAGGGCTGACTGAAGGGCCCTTCCTTCACACCTCTGGAATACATTCTATTCCACAGAGCTTTTTCCAAGGTCTAGAACCCAAGCAAGGCCTCATACGTGGCTTTGCCTTTGACCTCAGACTGTAAAATTTGCTATTATGATAAAATGGAACACTGTACACATCTGTAACGCAGTTCTCATGGACTATTAAATCAGCAACTCACTGAACCTCAAGGGGTCTTGGTTTCCCCAACAACAAGATCATGCTAATGGTAGACGCCACCTGCCAGGCTATCAGGGGACTTGGCGCCAATGTCTACAAATTACACAGAGGCCCTGTGCCATAAATAACAAGTCTTATTAATAAAATCAGTTGAAGATGAGAGCCAAAAAGATTATAGCAGTAGCAGGGGCAGATCATACTTGGTCAAAACAAAAGCGAGTAGAGAGATTTTCTGATCCTCATTTCTACAGATACGGTTCCCCTTTAATACAAGAAGAGTTTAAGGCTATTATTGTTGTTTATTCTAAAAAGTTACTTCTACCCACACAACTTGACGCGTTAGGTGTTACTTCATTTCAAGTTATCTGAAGGCAACATTCTACTCATTGACCAGACAATATAGTGTTGATTTCAAAGCATGTCCAAATATTGCTTCCAATTAAATTGTGCTATTTAACCTCTCAGGACCAAATGGATTCTGACCTATGTGCATCAGGACCCGGATTCCTCTTGTGCTTTAACTGAACCCAAATTTCATTTGCACCAGTATGGATCTCTCAGCCAACAGACATGGTTCATCCCCTGAAACTCCAGATTTCAAGAGACAAGTGATACTAGTACTTCAAGGATCAAAATCAGATTTCTGCTGATCTGGACGTCTGCTCTTCTGGCCTTGCCTAAATCAGACTCCAATGAAACAGGAGGAAATTTTATGAATGAACTTGAAGCAATTTGAAGACCAGAAACAAAACAATGAAATGTGTCCTCCCATGCTCTCCCTCAAACCCTACTTTGTAGCACATTTTAAGGAGGGCACACAGTTCTGTAAGAGCAAGGGATAGACTTTTGCATCCAGCTCCTGAGGTACTTTCCCCAGGGTCAGGGGTGGCTTCCCTGGGTGAAGTCAGAAGTTGGCTCCTGGCTCTCTGGTGCTTTCCCACAAGTCAGAGTCATGCTTTTGGAAAACATGAGACTTATGGATGCTGAAGTGGCAGGGGTTATGAGCAGGTGTTCTCAACTCAATCAGGTAAATGCAGACCAAGTCGCCCAGGCCAGGAGTCTAAATACAGTCAAGGCGACTCCAAAACCGAACAGGCTGTGCAACCTGAACGGCTGGGATTCAGAAACATGCCTTTCTAAGGTGTTCTGAGAATGCCTTCCATTCAAACTGAAAGAAGCCAGAACAGCAGCAGCAGCAGCCTCTGCTGGGATGTTCCATTCATAGGGGAGAGAGAGCTTCCTCCATTCACGGTGGGGTCAGGAAGTCCTTTCCAGCACGGGATGGCCTTTCTCAGCCAGCTGAGCTTCCGGGGACTGGGTATGGCTGCATCCTTCAGAATGAGTATGTCTATTAAGCAGCTATAGCCAGAGTTATTAGTACAGCAATCCCTTGGAAATCCCACAGAATTTGCTTGAATCTCCTGAGCAGTTACTCTGCGAGCAAGGCATCAGAGAAAGGCAGTTCCTGATTACACACGGGCAGCCCACACAGCTTTCAAAGTGCAGGGCTGGTTAATCTTGTCTAAATGCAATATGTACCAACGTTTGGGCAGCTGCCTGCAATACAGAAGCACTGCGTGGGGTCATTTTTAAATGACCACGTACTAACGGGGGTTTCCTCCTCTCCTCCTCCCCTTTCTGCACCAAACTTGCTGCAGCCATTTGGAATGTAAAGAGCAGTCCATTTTGGCAGTCCCCGGCAGCCAGCGGTCGGCTGCCAGTCTCCTGCCACCCTGGTCTGAAATGCTCCCTCCTGCATCCAAAGGGCAGAACTCCCCTGACATTTCCATAAAAATGTTTTTTTAAAAAAACCCCACCTGGTCTGCATACAGCAATGTCCTTCCCTTTCTCCCTGGGTAAATTCAGAGAGTTCGGTGCCAAAGCAAAGTGCCTGTAGGGGAGGAGGGGGGTAGCAGAACGGAGTATACTGCGGGTCACACGTGGGGTTTGCACTGAAAAATGTCACATCCGCGGCATTATATATTCTACGCCCTGCGTTAAGAAATGTCATGTCCCTTTCTCCGCCCAGCATTTAAAAATGGACACAGAAGTACTACACAGTCCATCGCCTCCCTGCGATCACGGCTGGGAAACAAAGACACATTACCTTTTATTTGTTGCGCGTCCCAGGGAGCCAAGGAACTTCACGTTTGCAGCGGCGGATCCACGGGAACCGGGGTCCCATCCGCCTGGGAGCGCAGGCCGTGGCCTACCCCGTGGCATCCGCGCCCGGCGCCGCTGCCTCCGCCGCCGCCGCACCAGCAGCCGCCCCGCCGCTGCCGGTCCCGCTGCCCCCGCCCAGCGCAACGGGCCCTCCGTCAGGCCATCGCCCGCTCGCGTTCTTTCCCGCCCGAGCCTGGGCCGCACGGCCCGGGGGCCCCCGCCGCGGGGCCGGCCCCTTTTCCGGCCGCGCCCGGCCCGCGGCACGGTGCGGGCGCCTCCGCTCTTCGGGACGGGCCACGCCCCCGCGCACACTGCGCGCTCCCCTGGCGCCGGCGGGGGCTTGCAGGGTCACGCGCGGGGGGGGCGAGGCGGCTCCCCAACTCGCGCCTGGATCACAGGACAATAATGAACCCGCCTGCGCTAGGCCTGCCGCTGACACCCGTAGCCCGCAATCTGGACACTCCGGGCTGGCGGCACACGCAAGTGGGCGACAAAGTTAGTGCGGGAGGAAGAGAAGGGGCTCCGCCTGGAGAGGCTGTGTGAGAGAGAGAGAGAGAGAGAGAGAGAGAGAGAGAGAGAGAGAGAGAGAGAGAGAGAGAGAGAGAGAGAGACACACCAAAAACATACAGAAAAACCCCACCCCGTGAGCGGGAGGAAGAGGCGACTTTGGCTGCGCCTGGATGAAGGTGTACCGCCCCTGAGCTAGCCCAATTTTCTTGATTTTTAATCTCCCTTCAACTCTTTGGGAATAGAAGTTCCTGTGAGGTAACTATTGTCAGGGATTCGCAACAATTACTGGAGAAAGAAGACTTCCATTTCCGGGCCCCAGGGGAGGACAACCTGACAAGTACGCTTTGCAAAAAAAAGAAACAAACTGGGAGAATATCCCTACCAAGAACAATAACTCAATTCACAGGGCAAGCCTAAATGTTTATTGCTTCAGTAGCTCAATTTGCCCCAGACACATTTTTCCCCCAATGAATTGTCAAAACACAGTTGACAAAATAAAGGGCAAAGTAGACAGGGGCACCGCTTAGCAAAGGGGCAAAAGCTAGCTTGTCTCAGGGGTAAAATTTTTAGAGTTCATACATGGCTGAATTTCCCAGCATCCATCCATTCATCATCCATCCACTGTTCAAGGGTGAGATAGGTTGTCCTCTCACTGTAGCTGAAGGAGACCCTGGCCAATCTAGCACCATGATTTCCAGGGCACTGGCAGGAGTGAAAACTTACAAACTTTGTAATAATAAGAAATCTCGCAATCCTGTCTCCCAGAGCACACCCACTGTGTGTTCTTCTCTAAAGATCTCTGAAGAAAAATTGTGAGAGGTCAAGAGATCTCACAGTCAATAAAGAGAAACTCCGTGTACAGTCAGTGTTGGAGGTGAAGGTGAACACGTGGGTTAGAACTGCCTGTCTTAGTTCAAGCTGTCTTGATCACATGCTGGTGACTGGGGACTCCACATGATTCTCGGGATCTGAGTCAGGGGAAGCTGTTTGCACTGGATGTGTCTGCGTTTTTGGAGCCCTTGAGGACTGTGCCAATGCTAAGTCCAGTTCTTTCAAAAGGCAATTGAAGCCCATTTCCTCCTGTCCCAAGGCCCTCAGGGGAGTGTCATTTCTTTGGATGCAGACTGTTTCCAGTGCTGGTTTGTTGTGACTGCAACACTTAGTAGGGGGTGATTGGGGAAATGTTCAAACCTACCATTTCTCTTCAGATATTTAGTTCCCATCTTTAGGAGAGTCACTGGCTTCCATTCACCTGCTGCTTTTCCACTTGGCCACTGGAAGTCTCAATATGTACTAAACTGAACCTGTCCCACCGGAAGTCCAGGTGTCCTATCTCACTACAGAGCATCTGTCCAACCCCCACAAGCCAGAAGTAGGGATGGAGGGGTCTTTTATCACCTTCCATTCACTCATTCCCCATGTTCAGGTGGTCACCAAACATTCCTCATAAATAGCTCTGGAAAGTTCGTTAAGAGCAGCCCCTTTTCTGACTTGCTCCAACAGCACCTGGGTTGGTTAACCTGTGTAGATGAGCAACCCCTGCCCTAGCCTTCTGTGCACATCACCTTGCAACAGTCCCCAGCAGCTTCCCGACTAGGTCTTGTCTCTGAAGCGCTTTCTCCACGCTGGCTGGAGTAACTCCCCTAAAAGTCAGATCTGGTCATAGAACTTCTTCACTTAAACCTGTTCGGGACTTCCCTGGCTCTTAGAAATAAAGTCCACACTTCTTCAGATGGCAGAATGGCCTGAGCACCAAACCTCCCTTATCCATCCAGCCTTATCTTTTGCCACCTGACCCCAACAGGGTCCACTCACCTTCTGCGCCCAGCTCCCTTTTCCAGGTCCCTGTATCCCAGGTTCTCACTCATCTCCTTGCTACTCAGCAGCCAGTGACTTTAGAAACAATGCAGATCATGTCCCTGCACAACTTAACCATTGTCGATGGCTTCTTATTGCTCTTGAAGCATCCTCTCCATCTTCCTCATGTGTTAATCTCCCTGTCCCTTTACACTTTGCCACACAGGCCACCTTTCTGCCCTTGCACAACTCTTCTCTTTGCTTTTGTATTTTTCATTCTTCCTGGCCCGAATGCCCTTCCACCCTCACACCCCACTCTCTGGATAGCTAGCTCCTTGTCATCCTTTAGCTCTTTAGCTCAAAGGCTGCCTCCTAGATAACCTTCCCTGCTCAACACCTGGGAAAAGGCCTCTCCCAGGTACTCTTTGTATCATCATTTATTTCCTTCCTAACACTTCCCCACAATGGGTACTCATAGCCCCATGATAAGGTCACAGACCGATTTCGGACTGCCTGGGCTTACATATTGCCCTGGCCACCTGCTACCTGTGCAACCTTGGGCAAGTTTCTCTGTGCTTCACTTTTCTTACCTAGGAAACAGGGATAAGAACACCGTCTACCTCATAGGGTTGCTATGAGGATTAAGGGAATCAGTATATGTGAATCATTTAGAACAGGGCCTGGCTGAATATGCTAAAGCCCTGTGAGGGCCCTTATGTGTTTTATTCTCACTGTTTCCCCATGAGACCTGGGTTGGTATATGGCACAGGATCTTTTTACCCGCTAAGCCAGTGGTTCTCAACCTTCCTAATGCTGCGACCCTTTGATACAGTTCCTCATGTTGTAGTGACCCCCAACCATAAAATTATTTTCGTTGCTACTTCATAACTGTAATTTTGCTACTGTTATGAATCATAATGTAAATATCTGATATGCAGGATGTATTTTTATTGTTACAAATTGAACATAATTAAAGCATAGTGATTAATCACAAAAACAATATGTAATTATATATTCAATATGTGTTTTCCGATGGTCTTAGGCGACCCCTGTGAAAGGGTCATTCGACCCCCAAAGGGGTCTCGAACCAAAGGTTGAGAACCACTGCCCTAAGCCTTTTGTGTTTGGTGACAAGACAGAGAATGACTAAAAATTCCTGGAAGAAATACTTTATTTGTAGAATTTAAGCACTAAGAGAAATAGGCCATGGTAAAACTTGATGAATAAGATAAAATTCAAACTTAATTTATTTGGAAGTTAATGAAAATATAGAGAAAATATGTTCTCTGTTTCAACAGTTGTAATCCTTGGAGTTGATGGATGACAAGCTTTGCGGGTCAGAAGTCTGTAACGGTCTGCTTTCCGCAGAGCAGCCAATGTGGCCACGGGGAATGCAGGCAGTTACTTGTAAAGGCATAAAGAATCAAAGGATCTTTGCAAAGTGTTAGTCCATCTGCCCGCTCTAACATGCAGTTGTGATGAAAGAAGATAGTGTTTCCATTTTCAGCTCCAGTTTGATACTTTTTGAAGAGTCTAATTGAAAACAACAACAACAAGACAAAAACCAACACGCACAAAAAAACAAATGGCAGGCTGGTTTCTGGACATTCACCTTTGTGTTTTGCTTTCATGGCTGGAGAAGTTTCAGAAAGAAAGAGAAACTTTTCCTTTTGCCCTTGCAGAAGGCAAGCAGGATTTGAGACCTGAAAACCTGGGGCTCTCCTTGCCTCTCTCACACAATTAAGAATCTTCATTTTGAAAAGAGCTGAACTCTCAAAGACAGGAGAGGTGGTCTGTGGCTTAAGAGTGGGGTCTAAAAAGGGACCGGAAAAGGCCATAGCAGCCCCCAGAAGAAGGGAAGGGGTGACAACTGTATACATGCCTCAAGAAGGCACCTGTCAGCAGGTGGGCCAGCATGTGGACGCTGGATGAGGGTACTAAGTTCTAAAAGGTGTGTCTTAGGCAAAGGATCTTGGGGTTCAGCCAGAAGGGATGGGGTCTTTGGCTTTAAATGGACCTCAAATTCTTGGATACTGAGCATCTCAGTGGCAACTAGTCTGGATTGATGATAAGAGATCTTTTTCTTGTCTTGAGGTACAATGTGAGCTAGGGAAGAGGAAAGAATGAGTAAATTCCTACCTCCTTGGTGGGCAAGGATGTAATCAAGATTTAAGTGGGTTTAGAAAAGTAAATTAATGTGATTTTTTATGCTCAAAGTTGGATAGCAAAAATTATGCACTCTATAAGTAAAAGTACCAAGTTCTTAACTCTGAGATTGTTATGCTCAGATTTCAAGATCCCCAAAGAACCACCAGGGAGCGCCATCCGATGCAAAAGCATAGAGCCTTTATTCAAGCTGAGCTCGGTCCCTCTGCCTCCATGACACAGCGGCAGGATGCGAGAGAGCCCCGAGTCTCAAGAGAACAAAGATTTTATAGGGCTTGGGGTCGGGAGGTGGGGGCATACTTCTAATTGGTTGGGTGAGGGCTAGGGTCTAGTGACACAAAGGCAGGGTGTGGCAAGGGTCTGGTTACACAAAGACAGGAGGTGGCTAGCATACCTTGGGTTAGTTCCCCTTGCATTCCCATTGGCTGATTTAAGGGCGGCTGGGTAACTGACACATTCTGTGGTTTTTTTCTTGGAAGAGGGGTCAGGGACACAGCTATCAGTCCCATTCTGTCCTTTCAAGATCTGAAGTCATAGCTTTCCTGACAAGCTCTGGGCAGTATATGGGGCAATTAAGAGGAGATTCCTCAGCTCAAATCTTGGCCAGAGTGCCACT